AAAAAAAAAAAAAAAAAAAAAAAAAGAAAAAAAAGAAAAATTGACTGAAAACAAATAATTGCTAATAGCTTTTCCCCTACAGAATAAAAAGCTAACACTGTCTGGTCAAGATAACTCAAACGAATGGCAGGTCATAGAAAATCAACACTTCAAGAGCAATGCTCAGAAAAATAGCTGAGATTATATACAACAGATTTGTCTACCTGTCTACAGTCTCCTTAGAATGAGGTAACTTAGTCAGTTCTATTTAGTGCAAGAATCCACGTCTTCTATCATTTTCCTGTTAGAAAATACATAGCCTATTTGAATAGTTCTACTGACATGATAACATGAGGCAGTTTTTCCCACTGCTAGACAGTTTCAGTTGCGAGAAAAATCATTTCCCCTGTGAGCTCCAGTTGGCTAAGGCCATCGTGCTATTTACGCACTGAATGATGGTGAGTTTTAAAACATTTTTTTCTACCAAAAAGAAACTACATAAATAATTCCCTAAAGAAGAATTTGATAACAAGAAAATATTTAGACCACATATGAACTATTTAATATTGAAAATAAATCTCTTCATTTCTTCTACTGATCTGTAGCTATAACTAAAAATTAAATTGAGGCCAATTAAGAAGGAAGAATGACCTTGAAAAGCAAAATTTTTAATGACTTGAGGACCATGAAGATTGACTTAGCCAGTTCTTAGCTCTGATGAATGATACTAACAGCACTACCAAGTTTTTACTTAGATTAGTAGCACAAATAATAATAAAATGATTAATTTGAGTTATACCTTTCGACTTATTACCTAAAGAATGTGGTACCCTAAGAATGCACTAACTAAAAGATAATGAACTATATATTATGGGAGAAAAGATTGCCCAATTAATGTTATATAAGTATCTCTTCTAGACAGAGACAACAATTTACAGAGAATTCAAGTTTCCCACAAAACTTTCTCCACTAGGAAAGATAATTTTATGATTTTATTGTCATCACTGGACCACCATATTCTTTAGATACAGATGGTAACGTAAGAAAAAAAAATGGCTGAACCTCAGTCACACCTGGGAAAGCCAAGCATGGTTTCATTAGTCTCTGGTCTCAATTGTTTAATTGTAACAGCCTGTTGAAGTCAAGACAACACAGACCAAATCTGGAGACATAATATCATATTGTAGTCTACCTAAATATAGTGCAGAGGGACATTTGGGGAGTAAACATAAGGGCGATTTAAACAGCAAGGTAAGACAGGTATAGAAAATGAACTGCAAACTTCTTATGTTCCAAAGTATTTAAAGGAAATGAGGAGCTAGAAAACTTCAGTGACAAGGAAGAAGTGTGGGAGATTCTTGATCATTTAAAAAAAATATAATAGCAATTATGTTTTGATGTCTTCCTAGGAACGAGGTAACCATTAAGGGAAAAAAGCATGCCGTGGTATTTTCATTTCATTTTAAGACCTTGGTGTCAGCACTCCTCAGGACAAAAGCTTCCTGGTTTGTATTGTTAGTGATCCCAAAGAGTTAGGCTTCTTGTAGACAAACAGAGCACGTGTGCCCCTTTCTGGTCCAAACACTGGCTCTTTCCTAAAAATTCCGGCAACTACTTTGAGTGGGGGCATGAGTAACTTCCAGCCCATGTGAGGGGGTCACTAAAGCCACCATGAAGACTTCTAAAGGCTCTGGTCAGATGGTGAAGTATTATCTAAAGATCCCAAAACAAAGCAGTTTCTCTCTCTTTTTTTTTTTTGAGACGGAGTCTTGCTCTGTCGCTAGCTCAGGCTGGAGTGCAATGGCGTGCTCCTGGCTCACCGCAACCTCTGCCTCCTGGGTTCAGGCAATTCTCCTGCCTCAGCCTCCCAAGTAGCTGGGATTACACGTGTGCACCACCACGCCCGGATAAATTTTGTATTTTTAAGTACAGACTGGGTTTCACCATGTTTGGCAGGCTGGTCTTGAATCCCTGACTTCATGATCTGCCCACCTCAGCCTCCCAAAGTGCTGGGATTACAGGTGTGAGCCACCGTGCCTGGCTAGTAGTTTCTCTTTTTAAGTCACTGCCTCAGCTTCTATAAGGTCAATGTTTGCATGGTGCCAACAAGAGTATGAAATGTTGATCCAATTTTAGCTCCCAGATTCTAAATCACAGTCCTTCAGAGCAGCATTTGGCTTCAAACATGATAGCAACTATGTTTAGAATGACCACTTGGTTGAAAAACTGCCAGAGACTTGGTGTAACTGACTATAACAAGTTTGCTTAGATGACTAAATACCTTCAGGTTCTATCACTTGCAGAACAGGTAATGAGCTGGATTTTACGTAACATGGATTCTATGTAAAACACTACTAAATGCAAACTTTTAGTTGAGGGTACTGTTAGGGACTAGTGAGTGTTCAGAGGTACAAGAACCACAGAGAACACTCAGCACACACCACTCATCTTACCACCACAGAAGACGGTTATAATATTACACAGTTACAATTTGAGTGAGGACTAAAACCCATGGTTCTTGATACTCAATATTCTTTTTTGTTACTTAGCTTAGTCTAAAAATTTAGAAATAGGCTGCACTGCAACTAAGGTGCTTTAGTTTCTTTACTTCTGTGGAAAGTAGAGGAGTGTCCTTACCTTGGAGACAGACCCCCATGGGAACAGTTGGTGGGTGAGGTCAGGGGGCTGGTCCTGCTGCTGGTGTGTCGGGAGGGTGTCCGGCCAATTGTATTGCTTGGAGAGCCCTGAGGTGAAGCAGAATAGGCATCGTTGTTCAAGGGCTGTATATAGAATATTACTCTATTCTTCCCTTGGTCTTTTAACCCACATGTAAATAAATGGGTAGAATCTGCCCAGAATGGTATTTTTATTTTCAGGATCATAAGGCCAATTTTAAGTGCATATGAACCAAAAATGAATAATCATCATACAGGCACTCCTGGAGTCGAATGATTGATGTTGGTTGTGCTAGAGTGAAAGACACAACTGAGAATTTGCATCTTTACAGTGTTGAAAAATAAGACCAACTCAGTGAATGAATGACTAATTGGATAACCTAGTGAAAACGTAGATGAACAACCTAAGAAAAATGGTTATACTTAAATACCAGATTCATTCACTTACTGGGCTTATGATGGCCCCATCCTCCGGATGCTCAACATTTACTGAAAGAGGACAAGGAACTGGGCTATTCCATTAGAGCAGGTTCTAGGTAAGGGCTACAGAGACTCACAGACATCATACAGACACCAACCATGACCAGAGCACTCACCACACTGGTGTTACTGGAATTCTTGAGGTGGTTATGCAGGAGTTTGGTGGCACCATCCTGGAATGTTTTTGGCAAGGCACCAAGTAACATGGTAAATTCAGGAGTATTCAATTCAAACAGAGAGATTAGCACAATTTGTGCTGCCTAGAAAAAAGGAACCATGATTAATTTATATAATGTGCAATAGTGGTCCTTCATCAAAATGTTGATTTAAAATTGTTTTTTAGAAAATATTTTTATAAGTAAAATCATTAATAAGAGGGCATTCTAGGCATCAAAAACAAAAAGCATCTGAAGAAAATATTGTCAATCGTAAGTAGTCTGACTTCAACCTGGAAAATAAACCCTGGCTTCATTTTAATGCCCTGGCCTTGGAATTCCACAGCATATTAATAATAAATTCCGAGAACTTTTCTTTTGTTGGACTGTACTAGGAAGGACGCTGGTAAATGGGTAAATGAAACAAAAAAATCTTTTAAAAGTTTAAGATTGATCCTACTTTAATAATTCAGAACTGAACAGGGACCTCGGTGTACCCTGAAAGCACAAATTTTCAAACAGGCTGCATTAGGTTATCTTGAGAAGCCACACTCCTCTTTACTAAGAAACACTAGAAAAAGAGTGTAAATACCTCTGAAAAACTTCTACTTTTATACCTATAAGCCAAGGAGAGAGAGTTCTGAGAAGCAAACTGGACTTCAAAGTAGTCAACATTAAAAACGTGCTCTTCAGCCTTTTGGAAAATGTTCTACTTTCGTTTATTAATTGAGTCAACACACTGCAAGCCTGCTTGTAATGACTGTGGTGGCGAGGTAGGCAAAGCCATGAGCTGAAACAACAGTGGTCAGTGAGACTCAGGCTTCTGGCAAGTGACGTGCTTTCTATAGATTTAGTAGCAGGCAATCCGAGCCTAAAGCACAATGCCTGAGGAATTAATTACAATAGTTTTGATTTACAAAAGCTAAGCCAAAAAAGTTTTAGCAAATACTAATTGGCATTTCTTATTAATTTCTAAGAGTCAAGAAAAAGAAAAAGACACAAAAAACTGTTTTGGTGAATAGAATCACCTCTTTACCATTTTTAACCATAAAGACTTTACAAACATAGTCTTTCCAAGGACTGTAATTTTTAAAATTGTGGTAATTATTCAGAATTTTTTTCCATGACATAGAATATTACACAAAAATGTGCTTGCAGAGTTTTGGAATTAAACAACACAAAGTATTTCAATGCTTTTACAATGTTAAAATTAGTGATAGGTCCAGTTAGGACAAAAGTACTATTCTATTCATGGAGAAGGAAAAGAAATCCAAAAACCCAAAGGTATTTAACCAAAAATAAGAATTGTTAATTGAAAATATAATCAAAAATTACTTTAACATTTTGAAATCATTCATTAAGCACAGCATTGGGCAAAAGTACATTACTTTTTTCCCTTTAATTTCAAATACAGTCATTAAAATAGCTTTTCCACCCAAATTAAATCATAAGTGATCAAAATATTTTTATGACATGGGCAAAAAGCATTATCGACTGTACTAAAATATATTTTTCTATATTTCACTTTGGAAACATTTTAAATAAATAATCTGAAGGAATCTATTTCACCATCAATTTAATGTACTATTAATTTGATATGTATATTTGTATAATAGAACAATTTCCAAAACTCATGCAAAGTAACCTGTGTATTTTTTAAAAACATTGTATAGGTGTTAGAAAAAAAACAATGCATGCAGAAAAATAATGTACTACAAGGAGAAAGAAAGCAGCAGCCTAGAATTGTAGCAGGAAAAACACATCAATGCCATCAAGTTAATTCAAAAGTACTGGCACTTAAATTTTGTTGATTGAAAATGGCATTTGAAAGTTATAAAATATATGACTGCATTCTTGAATAGTATGTTTTTTT